CGACCGGCTGCGGCCGGTATCCGCGACGGTCGTCCAGGGCATAGCAGACATGGCACACTGTCGACACCATGGGGGTGCGCAAGGGGGGGGTTCTCAGCGCGGCCTCTATCCGAGCCGGTCGTCCAGGGTACAGCAGGCATGACATATTCTCGACACCATAGGGGGTGCGCACGGGGTGGTGTCCGAGTGCGGCCGCTATCCGTGACGTTCGTCCACGGCATAGCAGGCGTGACATATTCTCGACCCCATAAAAAGGGGGTCGCAGGGCGTGGTCTCTGAGCGCGGCCGCTATCCGTGACGGTCGTTCAGGGAATCGCAGGCGTGCGTGGCACTTTTTCGACGCCATCAAAGGGGGTTGCAGGTCGTGGTTTCTGAGCGGGGCCGCTATCCGAGCCGGTCGTCCAGGGCGGAACAGGCGTGGCAAATTCTCGTAATTTTACGGGGTCCGCAAGTGGTGGTTTTTGAGCGCGGCCGCTATCCGAGCCGGTCGTCCAGGGCGCAACAGGCGTGCATGGCACTTTCTCGACACCATCGGGGGTGCGCAGGGAACGGCCACCAACATCATTTTTCCCAACCATCCTGTGGTGTTGGGTCCTCGTTTTGAAGAGACGTCGCCCCGCGTTCCTCCTCCTCCTTCCTCCTCCTCCCCTTCCTCCCCCCTCCTCTCCCTCCCACACCCATTCTGGCACACCCCTCACACGTTTCGTGGCCCCATAGGGAGCTCCACCGAAGGCCCCAGTGGCTGCGCCCGCATGCGGTTCCACCCCCCATTCTGGCACACCCCTCACACGTTTCGTGGCCCCATAGGGAGCTCCACCGAAGGCCCCAGTGGCTGCGCCCGCATGCGGTTCCACCCCCCATCTGGCACACCCCACACGTTTCGTGGCACTCCACCGAAGGCCCCACACGTTTCGTGGCCCCATAGGGAGCTCCACCGAAGGCCCCAGTGGCTGCGCCCGCATGCGGTTCCACCCCCATTCTGGCACACCCCTCACACGTTTCGTGGCCCCATAGGGAGCTCCACCGAAGGCCCCAGTGGCTGCGCCCGCATGCGGTTCCACCCCCCATTCTGGCACACCCCTCACACGTTTCGTGGCCCCATAGGGAGCTCCACCGAAGGCCCCAGTGGCTGCGCCCGCATGCGGTTCCACCCCCCATTCTGGCACACCCCTCACACGTTTCGTGGCCCCATAGGGAGCTCCACCGAAGGCCCCAGTGGCTGCGCCCGCATGCGGTTCCACCCCCCATTCTGGCACACCCCTCACACGTTTCGTGGCCCCATAGGGAGCTCCACCGAAGGCCCCAGTGGCTGCGCCCGCATGCGGTTCCACCCCCCATTCTGGCACACCCCTCACACGTTTCGTGGCCCCATAGGGAGCTCCACCGAAGGCCCCAGTGGCTGCGCCCGCATGCGGTTCCACCCCCCATTTCGGCACACCCCTCACACGCTTCGTGGGTGGCTCCATGGGGAGCTCCACCGAACGCCCCAGTGGCTGCGCTCGCATGTGGTTCCCCCCCCATTTCGGCACACCCCTCACACGGTTCGTGGCCCCATAGAGAGCTCCACCGAAGGCCCCAGTGGCTGCGCTCGCATGCGGTTCCACCCCTTTTTCGGCACGCCCTTCACACGTCTCGTGGCCCCATAGGGAGCTCCACCGAACGCCGCAGTGGCTGCGCTCGCATGCGGTTCCACCCCCCATTTCGGCACACCCCTCACACGTTTCGTGGCTCCATAGGGAGCTCCACCGAAGGCCCCAGTGGCTGCGCTGGCATGCGGTTCCACACCCCATTCTGGCACACCCCTCGCACGTTTCGTGGCCCCATAGGGGGCTCCACCAAAGGTCCCAGTGGCACTGCCCGCTTGCGTCCGCCACCACCCAGCACAGCCCTTGTTCCCTGCGCTTCACCCACCCAGAACAGCGCTTCGTAGCCCTATAGGGAGCTCCACCAAAGGTCCCAGCGGCACCGCCCGCATGCGTCCGCCACCACCCTGCGCAGCCCTTGCTCCCTGCCTGCGTTTCACCCACCCAGTACAGCGTTTCGTGGCCCCATAGGGAGCTCCACCGAAGGTCCCAGTGGCACCGCTCGCATGCGTCCGCCACCACGCAGCACAGCCCTTGCTGACCGCGTCTCACCCTCCCAGTACAGCGTTTCGTGGCCCCATAGGGAGCTCCACCGAAGGTCCCAGTGGCACCGCCCGCATGCGTCCGCCACCACCCAGCACAATTGCGGCATTCACAACTGCATATGGTTGGGTCCTTCGCCAGGCTAATTTCATGTTTCTTTTCAGCTATCATCACTTCAGCCATACTATAAGTATGTGGGGCTCCGCGGTAGCATAATTCTGTATCCGCCGACGGGTATCACATTGGACCTGGAACTCCCAGACTGGCACCCCACCACTGTGCTATGCGCAATCAGACACAGGAGCTGCATACATCGGGGGAGGATGACGATATGGTGGATGAGAAGGAGGGTGAGCAGGAGGAATAGGATGATGAAGAAGAGAAGGAACGATGATGAGGAGGGGGGACCGCAACAACAGGAGCGGGAGGAGCGGGAGAACCAGGGAAAGGCGGAGGAGGGGAAATGATAAAGGCAACACCGACGAGGAACGACTCGTATCTGAAGATGTGGCCCGCGCTGGGGCGAGAGCGCAATTCTGAACAACGGGAGCAACGTGCCGATCCTGAAACGAGACCAACGCTGCAGCGGCGTCACCACTTTGGAACATCAGTAACGTTCTGGTTGAACCTGGGAAATAAACCCAATGCGGGAGAACAGGGGCCCCGCTCGGACATATATCTGGGAGAGCGGGCAGTCGTATCTATATTGGGTATGTGCAGATGAAGGGCAATGGGGAGCGGAGGGAGACGAGGAAGTGGGAATCAGGATGGTGAACATGAGGATAAGGATGAGGATTCTGATTTCATGATGATGATGAGGAGGCGGATGATGATGATAATGCGGATGATGATGCAGTTGAAGACGCTGATGCTGCTGCTGATGATGATGCTGATGATGATGATGCTGATGATGATGATGATACTGATGTTGCTGATGATGCTGATTATTATGAGGACGAGTAGGGGGGTAGGACGAGGACGAGGACGAAAACGAGGAGGAGCAGTAGGATGACGACGACGACGATGACGGTGACGACGACGATGACGATGATGATGATGATGATGATGATGATGATGATGATGATGATGATGATGATGATGATGATGATAATGATAATGATGACGATGATGATGATGATGATGATGATGATGATGATGATGATGATGACGCTGATGCTGATGCTGATGATGCTGATGCTGCTGATGATGATGGTTTTGCTGATGCTGGTTTCAATTATGACGGTGATGCTGGTAATTGTGGTGTTGGTGATGTTGATGACGATGACGGTAATGATGATGACGAGGATTCTGATGTTGATGATGATTATTATGCGAATGATGACGATGATGCTGATGATAATGATAATGGTGATGATGATGCTGCTGCTCATGATGAGGATGACGATGACAATGACGATGACGATGATGATGATGATGATGATGATGATGATGATGATGATGATGATGATGATGATGATGATGATGATGATGATGATGATGATGATGATGATGCTGATGATGATGATGATGATGATGATGATGATGATGATGATGATGATGATGATGATGATGATGATGATGATGATGTGATGAGGAGGAGAGGAGGAGGAGGAGGAGAGGAGAGGAGGAGGGGAGGAGGAGGAGGAGGGGAGGAGGAGGATGAGCAAGGCGGAGGAGGATGACAATATCGTGGAGAAGCAGGGGAAGGAAAACTCTCATCCTTTTCCCACCCCGCCTGCTGCCCTCTCTCCCCGCTGCTCCTCCCGCTTTTCCTCCACGTCTTCGGCCTCAGCGTCGTCGTCGTCGTCCTGCTGCTGCTGCTCCTCCTCCTAGTCCCCCCTGAGCCTCCTCCTCCTTCTCCTGATCCTCCTCCTCCTCTTCCCCCTGGAGCGTCCTCTTCCTCTTCCTCTTCCTCCGCCTCCTCCTCCTCCTTCTCACATCCAAAATTACACAACATGAATGCAACTCTCTCTTCTCTCCCCTGATGACGTCCGGAAGATATCCGACCCCCCTCCGCGTACTGTTTTTTTTTCATCAGGCTCCCAGGAAATGGGTTTTCGCTGGATATCTTTCAAAATGTTGCTCCCGCTGAAGCGCTGGCCCCAATTCTGCGCCTCTACTTGTTCCAAACCGTGCTCCCGCTGCAGCGCGGGCGTTTCCAGTTCTTCCAAATAGGCCCCAACATCTAGGAAATGCCCCCCCGACAAAAACCATCGGACGTGATTCCACATTCGGTGTCGATTCGTTGATCTCTTGGGCCGCAGAAGCTTCCCCCCACTTATGGGCGTCGTCGTTTTCAGGAAGTATCAAGCGGGAGCCCCGTTTCTGCTTTGAGAAGGCGATGTTGAAAGCACAACCAGCTGGTGCTCTCCATCAGCCCTGCCTGGTGTGGAGCTTTTCGGGGAGCCCAATGAGCTAGACATGGAGCTACGACTCCAGAGTGGCCCAGACCTTTCGACGACGATTCGTTTACCCTCCAAGGAACCTGGCACCATGCCATGACATGCTGTGCGGTGTTGTGCTCTGCGCCGCTGTGCGATGCCATGCTTTCATTGCAATGCTTTGTGAAGCAATGCTTCACTGCGCAATTCCACGCCATGCTATGGCATGCTACGCTCTGCCGTGCTCTTCTACGCCATGCCATGCCGTGCTCTACCATGCATCCCGTATCCTCTCGCGACCATTGCCCTGCTCGCCATCCGATTGTGCGAATCGAGAGGATATTTACGCCATGGTAAAGGATGGGAGGGAGGTGTAAGACGTCAGATGTGACGCGAGCGCACCTAGCTTGCCGCTCCCCCCTCGTCCGCCTCCCCCACCCCCTCCTTCCCCCCCGTCGAAGTACAAGGACGGGAGTCGAGGACCCTCCTGCAGGTGCAGCGAGGGGTTCCCCTCGGAGGAGGGCCTCATCGAGGACGCGCTGTGCGCGTGGAAGTGGCTGCAGGCCAAGGCAGAGAGGAAGGACATGGGGTCTGGGGGGGGGGGTATGGGGGGGGGTGAGGAAGCATCTTCGCTCTCCTCCCCTACGCCCGCCCCCTCGTTCTCCTCCTCCCCCTACGCCCCCTCGCACCCCCTACGCCCCCTCGCTCTCCTCCTCCCCATAGGCCGCCTCGCTCCCCTTATGCCCCCTCGCCTCGACCTCCTGCCCCCCCATACGTCTCCTCGCTCGCCTCCCTGCTCTCCTGCTGCTGTCAGGGGGCCGCCTCGTCCCTGCTCCGGGAAGAGGCCGTTGCTGGAGGGCCGGCCCAGGAAGCACACGACGTGTGTGGATGCCAAATGGAGGCCTCCGAGGGTATGCGACAACGTGAAGGCACACATCAACCCTCCGCGTAATTTCGGGCACTTCCTCTTCCTGCACCTCCTCCTCGTGCTCTCCCTCCGCCTGCTTAGTCCGCCTCGCTTAGGCGATCAGTGGCCGTAACGTCCGTGTGCGATGTGGAAGAGGGTGTGCAGCATGCCGCATCAGCCGCAGGGGGCAACGAAGCGCAAAGAGCCAGAGGAGCAGAGGAGCAGACGATCAGCCCGCAAGCGCACAGGGTTGGTTCTAACTGTAAGTCTTCCTCACCTCGTCCTCCTTCTCCCGCCGTTCTCCTCCGCAAGGAAATCGATGGCGATAAGATCTTCGTGTTTGGGAGGTCGCTGGGCGGAGCCGTCGCGATTGCTCTGGCCAGTACTCTGCAGCAGAGGCGCTGCAGCATGGGGCGGAGGAGTGGGACGGTTCCCCCCCTCCATGTCCATCGTCCTCCCCCTTCCTGTCCTGTTGCGCGTTGCATGAGGCCAGCTCGGGACTCAGGCTTGCTTCATCGAGCTGTGGTTCCGTTGGGAGAAATGGGAACGGAGGATTTGGAGGAGCACGCTCGAATCTCTCCGCGCACACCCGTGTGAGCCGCCTGCGCATCTGTGCAAGCAGGACAATTATTGGCGTGCGATTTGCGAGACCGTCGAAGAAAATCATGGTTCTATTGCGTAATGTTCGATGGTTAGACATCGCCTCCGCCAGAATCTCTCATTGTGGTTGCCACTTCCGTCAGCAATTACAGTAACGGCGCAAGCCGGCTCACAAGTAGGATAAGCTTGTCTCTTCGTCATGTTATTATCCTGAGACCACCTGTGAGGCATGCGAAGAGACATCACAGCCCGAGCGAGGTGTCTTCAAGCGAGCTGTACCATAATACAACTTCAGCAAGGAGAAAAGGGGAGCATGGCGAGGATGACAAGGGCGAGGAGGACTATTGGAGCCAAGCATATGTATATTTCAGGGATTATTGTTTTTCTCGCTCACACACGTTGCAATCGCGGATTTTGTGGCGTGTCCTCAATTTTGTTGCCTGCTGTCTCCACCGAAACCGCAGCCAAGCAAACGTTGTCATCCGAAGATGCTGTTGGCCTCATCGAGAGTAGCTTGATGGAGAGCCCTTAGAGGGCGGACCCCGATCAGGAATGTCGGCCGCATATGCTAACGTATTCGCGGTTCGATCTCTTTTTCCAGCGTATGATTCGAGGCCATCCAACAATGTCAATGGGACCTTCTGCGATTAAACGGATACCTGCACCGTTCTTCTATGCGGGCTTCAGGCGCGGAGCTGCGCTCGCTGCGCCGCTAGTCGATGCGCGTTCTCAAGCGGGGGTGCGACCCTGCGTCGATCGGCCAGGGCGCGCGCAGGGTCCGCCCGTGGAATTTTCTTTAGCCCAGATCGGTGAAATGAGAGATTCTGTGGTTCTGCGCTGGCCAAAGCAACACATTCCGTCATTTCACCAGTCGTGCGTTTGGTTTGCGTTTTTGCCTGGGACGGATTGGGCGTGGTTCCCCGCGGGCCTCTCTGGGTGACTTGCGCTCGGGCTTATCGGGCTTCTCTGGGGTCCTGTCGCGCGCCTCGTCGTCCTTCTTACTGCTTCTTTCAAGTCTCCTTTGGATTTACTAGCGGCCTGCGTCATTCTGGAAGCTCCCTGGAGAGTCTCGACGAAGCATTGGGGATGTCGGGGAAGTATTGGACGCTCGGGGTCGTTTCTCGGCGACGTGGAACTCCCCCGCAGCCCCTGGCCGCTCAGATTGCGCCTTTGGTGCGTTAAGGGCTTCGCTCGGGCAGCGGGCTTTTATCCGCAATCGTCTTTCGGTGACGTGCCAGGCGGTGTTTACAGACCGCGTAGTGGGGAGCCCTCAGGCGCGGGGGCCGAAACATCGAACTCTACATGCCCACCGAAAACAAGTACTGGTTTTGGGCTCCTTGACACATGTGAGCATGAATGAAGTTTTACATTCTGGAAGAGAAGTATTAACGTATCGTGCGTTGCATGAACGGGCACGTCCTCTCGAACTGCTTCTAAACCGAGGTTCGTTGTCACATTGCTACTTCTCCCGGGCTGGACAAGGGGGATATGGCAGGTAACGCAGGATAAGTGGGGGCGGGGAAAGAGGAAGAGCATGATGATGCTGCTGATGAGTCGGGGGAGTAGGAGGAGGAAAGTAAGGAGGAGGAGGAAGAGGAAAAGGTTGAATAGCGGAGGAACAAGAGGATGATTGATACCCAGGTGCTTCAGGCAGACGCAGTCACCGTGGCAACACAGCATCGACATGTATGAAACATGGTTCAACCGAGCACTGGAAGAGGCTAGGTGTAACCATGGTTCCACGGCCCCCCCGGGCCTCTTCAACCCTTTCGGACCGTCTTGGGCATTAAGATTCCACCTGTTTGTCTGAGAAGCCGCGCTGCGATACAATAGTGGGGCGTGGTTGTACCATTGCATGGTTGTCGCGATGCCTCTTGAACGCTTCTTGGAACTTTTCCGGTTGTCCCGTGGGGCCGCTAGCGAGTCTCTAGGTTTTTGTTGTTGTTTTTTTCGGTAGAGCCATCTTACGGCCATTTGTTCGGGTCTCGGAATCATCCTGCGGCCGTCTTGGGGCGGTCTCACGTATACCGTTTCGGGAATTTGTTTGGGACCCTTTGGGCCTGGCTTGGGATCCTTCTGTAGCCTTCCTCAACCCGCCATCTGCCGAACATTTAGCACGGTTATGGCACCACACAGGTCCTATTGTAGAGTGTCAAATTGGGTCTCTCTGGGGGTTTGGGGACCTCGAGGTCAATTGGCCACATCTTGAGTTCTTCGGAAAGCCTTTTGGCTGTCTTTTGGCTTGTCTTGTGGCATCTTGCAGCCGTCTTGGTCAGGTCTTGCACCGTCTTGGGGCGGCAAAGAGCAACAGCGTGGAAGCCTCTTGAAGGCCCCTGGGGGCGTCTTGGGCTGGGGGCATCATGGGCCGTCTTGAAACCGTCTTGGGCGTGCTGGAGCGATCTTTCGGCGATTCGGGGCCCTTTTTGGACCGTCCTGGCGGCCTCCCGGGACCCTCATGGCCCGTCTTAGGGCCGTTTTCGGCGCGAACGAGTCACGCGACAATGCACGGGAAGCTTCAGGAGATTGAGAATCGGGAGCCCAGGCCCCTGGGATAATCCCCAGGATTGAGGACTGGGGTTTGAGGGATTCGTCAGAGGACCTGAGGACATCCCAACTCGTGCCTCGAGGGCACGGTGGCGGATAATGATGCGCTCCAATATTCCCTGTTGTTCCGCTCGGGCTTTAGAAAAGAGGGTTGATAGATGTATGCTCCAGAGCTGTCGGGAATTATCCTGACCTATCGTATCACGGCATTATTCTTGTCGTAAGGAAGACCCGGGGTAGCGATGTTCTCTGGGTGATCGCAATGAGCGGGGGGTCTTTTCTGGAAGTTGCAAAACCCTTCCCACAGAGGGGAAGAGGAAGATGGAAGAGGGGAGGAGGAGGAGGAGAAGGGGAGGAGGAGGTCTGAGAAGGAGGTGGAGGGGAGGAGAAGGGATTGAGAAGGAGCCCGCTTCCTCCTGGTCCTTCTCCAGCTCCCGTCGCTTTTCAGCGCCGTTCATAGGGACGAGCGGGGACCCTGCGGCATGATCCTGGAGAACACTTTCCTCTCGATCGGCGACATGGTCCTTTCCTTCCTCTCCTTGCTTTCCTTCCTTTCCCCAAATTCAGTTAGTTCCTTTTCCTCCTTCTCTTCTTCCTTCTCCTCCTTCTCTTCCCTCCTCCTCCTCCACCTCCACCTCCTCCTCCTCCCTCCTCTTTACCCTTCTTCCCACTCCTCTTATTCCCCCTCCCCTGCCTCCTCCCTCCTCCTCTCCTAACCCTGCTCTTCCTGCTTCCACTCCTCCTGGGTCCCCCCCTCCTCTACCTCCTCCTCCTTCCCACCTGCCTCTCCCGTTCCTCCTCTCTCCCCCTTCGGGTCGACACGCTCTTTCCCATCATCGCCTTCAAGTGCCTGAAGGATCGGTTCCTGCGGCTGAGGCCAGACGGCGTGGGGCGGGGGTGTCCTCGAGAGTGCCAGTACGCGGAAGGGATGCGAGGCGAGGCGGCGCGAGGCGGAGGCTGCGGCGGAGGAGGCGGAGGAAGAGGATGATGAAGAGGAGGAGGGGAAGGAGGAGGAGGAGGAGGAGGAGGAGGAGGAGGAGGAGGAGGAGGTGGAGGCGAATGAGGAGGACGAGGAGGAGGAGCAGGAGGAGGAGGCGGAGGAGTAGGCGGAGAAGGATAAGTGTGATGGAGTAGGACGTGATGGTGACCATGGTCATGATTCGGATGATGAGAACGGGGAGGAACAGGAGGAGAAGGAGGAGGAGGAGAAGGAGGAAGGAGGAGCGAGTAACTAGGAAGTGCATTTGTGGCGGTGGATGAGGATGAGGAGGCTGGAGGGGGAGAAGGAAGAGAATGAGCAGGAGAGGGAGACGGAAGATGATGGCGATGCTGATGATGCTGATGATGCTGATGATGATGATGCTGATGATGATGCTGCTGCTGAGGATGATGATGATGCTGATGATGATGATGATTCTGATGATGATGATGACGATGTTGTTGATGATGATGATGATGATGTTTCTGATGTTGATGATGATGATGCTGGCGATGATGATGATGATGCTGATGATGATGCTGATGACGATGATGAGGATGATGGTGAGGATTAGGACGCTAATGATGGTGATGGTGGTGGCGAGGGTGAATGTGATGATTATGATGATGCTGATGACAATGATGATGCTGATCTGATGATGATGCTGCTGATGATGCTGATGATGCTGATGATGATGATGATTATGATGAGGATGATGTTGTTGATGATGATGTTTCTGATGTTGATGATGATGATGCTGGCGATGATGATGATGCTGATGATGATGCTGGTGATGATGCTGCTGACGATGATGAGGATGATGGTGAGGATTAGGACGATGATGATGGTGATGGTGATGGTGATGGTGATTTTGATGATTATGATGCCGATTGTGATTATTATGATGATGATGATGATGATGATGATGATGATGATGATGATGATGATGATGCTGATGATGATGATGATGATGATGATGATGATGATGATGATGATGATGATGACGATGATGACGATGATGATGATGATGATGATGATGCTGATGATGATGATGATGATGATGATGATGATGATGATGATGATGATGATGCGGCTGCTGATGAAGATGCTGATTGCGATGGTGATGGTGCTGATGCTGGCGATGGCGATTGTGATGGTGGTAGGATGATGGTGATGATGAAAAAGATGATGCCGCTGTTGTTGACGACGATGACGGCGGTGACGAGGATGATGATGGCGATGATGATGAGGATGCTGATGGCGGTGGTGATCATGATGATGCTGATGATGAAGTGGGGGTGATGATGATGTTGACGACGATGATGATGATGCTGATGACGAGGATGACGATGATGATGGCGATCACTATGATGATGGCGAGGGGGTGCTGATGATGCTGATGCTGCTGATGATGATGCTTATGATGCTTATGATGCTTACGATGCTTATGATGCTGATGATGATGCCGATGCTGCTGATGATGTGCATGATGAGATTGGTGGTGGTGTTCGTGATACTGATGCTGCTTCTTTCGCTGCTGCTGCTGATGCAGATGATGTTGATGCTGCTGATGATGAAGATGATGCTGATCATTCTGCTGACGGTGATGATGCTGCTGATGACGACGATGACGATGATGATGTGGGAGTGATAGCGATGATGATTATGACGATGATGATGGTACCGATTACGGTAATGATGATACCGATGATAATAAGGATGGTGGTGATGATGGTGACGACGATTACGCGGTAGTTGATGATGAGGGTGAGGAAGGAATGACGATGATAATGACGCTGGTGACGCCGTTGTCGAGAATGATATTGATGATGACGACAATGCTTATGATGCTTATGATGCTTATGATGATGGTGATGATGATGATGATGGTGGTGGTGGTGGTGGTGATGGTTGTGATGGTGTTGGTGATGATATAGGTGATGATGACGATGACGATGAGAATGGTGATGATGACGGTGATGATTATGATGATGATGATGATGGTGGTGGTGGTGGTGTTGTTGGTGATGGTGATGATGGTGATGATGATGATGAGGATGAGGAGGAGGAGGCGGGATGGGTGGATGGAGGACCAATCAGAAGGCCCATGCGGAACGCGTCCCACCCAAGGGGTCACAAGAGAGTGCTCAGGTCTCCTCCTTGCTCCCTGCTTCCTTTCTCCTCCCGCCTGCGTACTTCCTCCGCACTCCTTGCGCCCTTCTCTCTCTGCCCTCCTCCCGACTCTCCGGTTTTTCCAGGGAGGTTCGATGAGGGAGGCTCGCTCCTCCCTCTACCCACTTGCTCATCTCTCCTCCCTCCTTGTTATCCTTCCTAGGATGTCTCCTCCCGCTTTCCTCCTTCATCCTTCTTCCATTATTCCTCCGCCCCCTCCAATCCCAGCATCATCCTCTCTCCTCCCCCTTTTGCCTGCTTCCTTCTGCCCGTGCTTTTTTTCCCTCATTCCTCCTCCCTCTCTCTTCCCTCCTCGTTTTTCGCTCCTCTTTTCTCTCTCTCTTCCCTGCTTTCTTGTCCTCCACCCTCGGCCTCCTCTCTTTCTGATCTCTCTCTCTCTCTCTCTCTCTCTTTCTCGATCTCTGATGATGTTGCTCTCTCTCTCTCACTCTCTCTGTCTGTCGTGGGTGTGTATAGTGTGCATTTGCATGCAGATGTGTCTAACATGATGTATGCATCTACCTGGCATTCTCTCTCTTTCCCTCTCTCTAGCGCGCTCTTTATATACATAACTATGTATGTCAGTGCGTGCACGGGAAGGTTGTGAGCGAAATGACTTGATGAGACAGGTCAGAAACGAACCAATTTAAATGGGGGACCCCTGGACTCCATAGCCTTTCTTCGGTTCGAGATGGCCCAGGCCCCTGCGGGCCACTGGGCTGTCCTCGCGCTGGGGCTCTCCCACATCTCCTCGCTTTTCTCGCCCGCGGAACCGCGCCCATCGGCAGGACTGCCGCCCTGCGTGCTGGAGGTTGTGTGCCCGCCCGCGTGGCTGCCGACTGGGAACAGCGGAGACGCTCGTCATCCTGGTCCCGAGGCGCCGCCTCGCGTGGCGTCTCCCGCCGTCTGCCTGGCCCCCGAGCTGACCCAGGCTCAGGCGGAGCCTGAGGCGGATTCGCTCGGCGCCCTCGCGGCGGCGGTCCCTGGCGTGCTGGTGGCGCGCAGCTGGAGGCGTGCCGCGCCTTGCGAGGCTGCTGTGGCCGAATGCCCCAGGCTGCGGAGGCCTCGATCGGGGGGCGTGATGGCGCTACCCCCGCGAGACGTGGGGCTGGAGGGGTGGAAGGAGCTCCTGCCAGGCCAGCGGCTCAGCGTAGGATATAGTGACGATCAGGTGAAGCAGGAGGGCGTGCTCCTCCACCCGAGCTGGCCGCCAGGCGCCCGGGCCGCGTTGACGTCTGACGCCGCCGAGTACGAGGAGGACGACACCGACGTGGGCCCGCAGGCGTGGCCCGTGGGCGCGGCCCAGATGCCAGCAGGAGGAGGCGCGCCCGAGGGCTGGCCGCGGACGTCCCGCCGCTGTCGGGCGGCCCTCTCGGAGGAGGAGCTCGAGGCGGCGATCGTGCACAGCCGCGTGCTGGTGGAGGAGCGTCTGCCGGGCCTCGCGCCGGGGCCGCCTGCTAAGGTAGCGGGCCCGGGCGCCAGGCGGGCGGAGGGGGCGGACTTCTTCGGCGAGGCGAGGCGATCAGCGCTGGGGGTCGAGTACGACGCGCAGGGGGAGATTTGCGAGCCCATCAGGACCGCCTGCCGAGAGAGTCTGCAAGAGGCCTTCCCTGCCTGGCCCAGCGAGGGGCCTGTGTCGGCCTTGACGGTATGCAGGAACATGGAGCGCACGAACAGCGACCCCAGGTCCTGGCGGGGGGACTTCCTGAGGCCCAGAGGCGTCGGCGACAGTGACAGAGTGACGCATGAGATGCACGTTCTCTGCGACATCCTCCTCTGGGCCGTGGTCTGCGCCCAGATGGATCTAGGCGACTCGATGTGCCTGGAGACGGCGGCCAGGAGGATCACGGAGCTGGTGGAGGTGTACTTCGATCCAGCCAAGCCTGTGTGGGACGGCTCCCGCCTGTACCCTGGCGCTGTGTCCTCGGATGACAGCGCGGATCAGACCTTGCTGCAGTTCGCCACCAGGAGGATCAGGGAGCAGCGGGAGGCCCAGGCGGAGCCCTCGTATGACAAGGGCCCGCAGCGCGCCGAGGGCGACGGCACCACCGACGGCGGCGGCAGGGAGCGGCAGAGGCGCCCGCCATCGAAGGACGTGAAGAGAGGCGTGGGGGGGGGGGTTGGCGCCCCCCCCAAGGGGCAATGACGGCCTCTGCGGCCGGGGGGGACCCCGTCCCCGGCCGTGACTCAGGGGTGGCGCGGGGTCGGCTTGCCGCCTCGCGCAGTGCCAGGGAGCTGTTTCCGCTGCCGCGCTGGCGCCTGCCTGAGCTGCGTGTGGCCGGCTCCGTTCGGGGCAGGGCCCCGCGGCGGCGTAAGAGGCTGGTGTTCAAGATGGGTAACGAGGCGGTGGGCGCTCTGAACTGGCTTGCTGGTTGTCGGGGCGGACCGGCCTACTTCGATCCCGACCCGATGCAGTCTGAAGTTTTGGAGCGGATCTGCGAGTTAGCCTCGCGGCGGTACCCAGGTCCCGATGCTCTCATTGAACGCGCGGCCGTCCGCCGGCTGCTGCGCGGGCATGCACCGTGCGATGGGGCGGGATGCCTCGCCCGTGTCGCGCCTTTCAGAAAGGGCCTCGTTTCGTTACCCGAGACAGTGGAGGGCTGCCCGTCGTTTGAGGACGTGGCCCCTCCAGGGTTCCAGAGATTCCTGAAGGGGCATCCCGAGCGCATGCTGCGCGCTGACAGTCCCTCTTCTACTGTGGCACCTTACTTTGACCCCGCGCTGAAGCGCAGCGTGAAGACCTACAGGCAGTTCATCAGCGACCTACGCCGACGCGGATTGGTCGGCTGGACCATGCGCCCGCGTTGCCAGGTCGGCCTTTTCTTTGTTGAGAAGGACGGAGGTCAGCGGCTCAGGCTCATCCTTGACGCCAGGCCCGCGAACCTTCTCTTCGAGCCGCCGCCGGGCGTCAGCCTCCTGAGCGCGGAGGGCCTCAGCCGAGTCGAGATCGCCCTGCCGGATGGCCTGGGTCCCTGGAGCGAGGAGGCGGAGCGGCTACTCAGCAGCTACTCTCTGCATGTGGGCCTGGCTGATGTGAAGGACTGCTTCTACAGGTTGCGACTTCCTGGATGGCTCTCCGAGTACTTCTGCCTACCCGTCGTGCCAGCGTACTTGCTGGGCGTGGAGGGCGAGATCTGGGAAGGCAGGGCTCTGGGGAGGCACGATCTGGTGAGTCCGTGCTGGACCGTCTTTCCGATGGGTTTCACGTGGAGCTTGTGGGCTGCCCAGCGGATCAACGAGTACCAGGCGAGTTCCCTCTGCCCGCAGCTGCACGAGAGCCCCCTTTCCGACCGCGGCAGGCCCCCCGTCTTCGGCCCCAGCGTCCCCAAGGGCCACATCTCGCACTACGTGTACGTCGACAACCTGGGGGTGGCCTCCACCGACCAGCCCATCGTCACCGATGCGATCGCACAGCTGGTTGAGGGCTTCGACCAGCGCGGCCTCCTCCTCCACGGCAGCTCCGTGGGCACCGAGGTCGAGACGCTGGGCACTGAGGTTTCGGGGGCCCTCTGGAGGACGAGAGTGACGCAGAAGCGGTTCTGGCTCATTCGACAGGCCCTGAACGGCCTCCTTCGACGCCGCCGCCTCACAGGCTGGGCGGTCGAGGTCCTGGTGGGCCACTGCGCGTTTGCGGGATTGCTGAGCAGGGGTACGTTGAGCGTATTCCACACAGTCTACGCCTTCATGCGGAAGTCATACGCCGAGCCCAGCGTGCTGTGGCACGAGGCCCGCCAGGAGCTCGAGACGTTCCGAGGCCTCCTTATCTTTTTGGAGAGTGATTGGACGCTGCAGTGGAACGATCTGGTGGTGGCGACCGACAGCAGCTTGGAGGCGGGAGCTGTCGCGACCACCCGATGGCCTCGTTCGCTGGTGGCCGAAGTGGGCCGCGTGCAGGAGCGCGCCCGCTTTCGGGAGCCCGCGGCAGCCGAGGCCGACGGCGCTGCCGGGGCCGCTCCTGCTGCCCGCCGCGGTGCGCGAGAGGCGGCGCTGGAGGCGGCGGGCTTCTGGCGCGACGCCGATGGCGAGTGGCGGCTGGCCGAGGGCGTGATCGACGACGACGAGCAGGCCGCTGCGTGGGAGGCGGACCCCTCCTTCCGGAGGTGCCCGCCGCGGGCCTGGCGAGCAGCCGCTGGCGCACCGAGCAGGTGCAGCGCTGGCGGTTCGAGGAGGGCATCTTTATTAAGGAGGCCCGAGCACTGGTGATGGGCGTTCGACGCGTTGCCCAGTCTGTGTTCGGTGCCGCCTGCCGTCAGCTGATTCTGTCTGACAACATGTTAGCTGTATTGTCTTTTAACAGGAGTCGTGCTGAAGATTTTGCTTTCCTCGTCCAGGTCCGCAGGTTTTAAGCCTACTGTCTCGCAAGGAATCTGAAGGTGTCTGTGAGGTGGGTTCCCTCTGAGTTGAGCCCTGCCGATTATGGGTCTCGCATTTTTGATGAGAAAGGGGCTAAGGAGTCTCTTGGTGCACTTCTTCCTCATGCACTTTTTTCAGAGGAGTGCAGGTCTAAAGGTCCCCCTGAGGTTCGCGCTCCCTTCCATTTCCACCCGTCCGAGAATTTTGTGCAGTGCCCGTTGCAGCGTGCCCCTCAGAGAGCTCTGTCTGTTCTGCCCCAAGTGCCCGAGGAATCTGACTGGTCCCTTGATGCCCGTGTTTGTTCTGAACCTGTGTACTCAAGGTGCGGTCTGACTTCTTCGTATCCCGTTTCGGCTCAAACCTGTTTGCAGGCCCACCCCTTTGACGGGCCTTCGTCCTCGCATGCTGCGCCGAGGACGGCTGCGGGGGACCCCGCCGCCTCCGCCTGGGACTCCAGCGCGGCGGCCGCGCCTGCGGGTGAGGGCTGCGTCGCCCGAGCCTGCCGCGCCGATCTCCCGACAGTTCGCGGCGCGAGAGTCGGGCAGCAGGACCCCCCGAGGGCCGCAGCTCCTGCCGGAGCTCACCGCGGCCCGGCGGGCGCAGGACTGGAGGGCCAGGCTGAGCTTGGCCGAGCTGCCGTCAGCGCCCAAACTGCCCAGGCGCGAGCGCGGCCTCCAAGCCCTCCCCCAGGACTGGTCGCACCCGATCGTGGCCAGCAGCGTCGACGGCGGCAGCACCTCCGACGATCAGCAGGTCGAGCCAGCCGGCGAGAGGCGCGAGGGGGAGCCGCTGAAAGAGGCAGCTCGGAGGCGGGCCTTGACCATGGCCCCAGGGATGGGCGAGGCGATGGCCGGCTACGTGAACCATCTGTCCTTCGAGGGCCCCGAGAACGCCAAGGGCTGTCAGGAGAGGGCAGGCCTCATGTACAGGTTCGGGGAGTTCTTGAGGCAGGACAAAGCCATGGCACCTCGGGCGTGGAAGGGCCTCCAGGGATGGCGCAGGCTGGCGCCCCGGCGGGGCCGCCGCGCAAGGCCGTTGGCCCTCAGGTGCGGGCTCGCCTGGCGCATGGGGGTGCAGAATGTGCTGCCGATGGCGGTGCTCCTGCTCGCGATGGTCTCCGGCTACCTCTGGCCCAGTCGTCGGCTGAAGTTGGCGAGAGGCAACGTCATCGCTTCTGCGATGGGAGAGTGCCGTCGGTGGTCGCTGCTGCTGTTGCTGGACAACAGGCCCCAGAGAAGCGAGACGAGGCTCTCGGACGTCGGGGTGATGCTGGACGGCGGATGTATTCGGTGTGCCATGCCTATCTTCCAAGAGCTCGCCCGAGGGGATCACGAAGAAGAGGGGCGGGCGTTCAGTTACTCTCAGTTTCGGGCAGTGCTGAAGAAGGAGGCGATCGACCCGCAGATCCGAGAGCACATTGTCCCTTGTCCAGCCAGACGCTCAGGACCCAGTATGGGCAACGCTCGACGGTACCGAACGATCGCAGAGATGCAAGAGAGAGGACAGTGGAGGCATGCCATGTCGATGCAACGTTACGTGAGGACGGCGAAGCCGGGTCAAAGCAGACCTCTCATGCCGTCCCGGCCGCCAGGTATTTTGACACAGTGCGAGTTACATCTAGAGGACATACTGCTCAGAAAAATTGCCGAGACAATTATCCTGTGAGGCGGCGCGGCCGCCAGCGTAGGTACATTCTTGATTTGTTCTCGGGTTCGAACTCGATAGGTAAGGCTGCTTTAAGGCGGGGCTTCAACTACCATGGTTTTGACAGCCTCAATGGGCCCAACGAGGACCTCGCTAGACCTGTCGTGCTTGCGCGTGTTAGGGACGCTATATCTAGGCATGAGGTGATAGCCGCTTCTCTTGGGCCTCCTTGTGCGTCTTGGGGAACAGCGGCCGGTCGGGGGCGTCAGCCGGGCCGCTCAAAGAATTTTCCCTGGGGCCTGCCCGACGCGTCCGAATGCGCAGCTAGGGGAATTTTACAGGGAAGCGCCACCTCTCGTGCAGCACTAAAATTAATGAAGGCGCTTGCCCGATCGCAGGTCCCCTTTGTTTTCGAGCATCCGATCAATAGTGGAGCCTGGCACACGCCTGAACTAAAGTCTCTTACCGAGCGGTCTTGCATGCATTCTCGTGTGTGTGATCAGTGCCAATTCGGGGTCCGCTGGAGAAAGCGTACACGTTTTTTTGTTTTTCGGAGTGGACTCCCAGGACATTTTGAAAGTCCAAAGGCGGTGCCACAGTGTTGGTGGGGTTTGCTCGGCTTCAGGGAAGCCCCACATCATCCTGGAAGGCAAGGCCCCCTCTGGGGCCACGTGGACGTCTCTAGCAGCTTCGTATCCTCCGAAGCTGGCTGACTGCATTGTTAACTGTTTACTCTGCCGCCAGAGGGACCAAGAGGCGGCATCCTTCCTTTAACCCGCCTCGCCCTCCCAGAGAACCCTTTGGGACTTTGGGCTGTCAATTGCGTCCCAGCTCCGCCAAGACGAGTGGCACGTGGTAGCAAAAACGTTCCCCACCGAATGTAGCAGTTAACCTGTCAGTGCGTGCACGGGAAGGTTGTGAGCGAAATGACTTGATGAGACAGGTCAGAAACGAACCAATTTATAAATGGGGGACCCCTGGACTCCATAGCCTTTCTTCGGTTCCCGCCCTCCCTTGTCTCCCTCTCTGCTCTGTCGCCAGGCTGTCAATTGCGTCCCAGGTCCGCCAAGACGAGTGGCACGTGGTAGCAAAAACGTTCCCCACCGAATGTAGCAGTTAACCTATATACACATACGTTTTTTTTCTTCTTCTTCTTCTTCTTCTCTCTCTCTCTCTCCCTCTCTCTCTCCATCTCTCTCTCTTTCCCTCCCTCCCTCCCTCCCTCGCCCCCTCCCTCCATCATCCATACAGAGTCACCATCCTCCTCTTGTCATTACTCTCTCTCCTCATTCTTGCTCCTGCTCGTCCGTCTAATCCCACATGATCCCCGTCCTCTTCCTTCTCCTTGTCCTCCTTTCTACTCCTGGCTTGTTCCCCCTCTTCCTTCGCCTCCCCCTCCTCAGCCATACCTCACCCTCCTCCCTCCTCCGTGCTCGTCCTTCCCTTTCCCTCATCCCTCTTACCCTCTGCCTCCTTTCTCCCCCTTCTTCCGGCCTCCGCCGACGCAAGCAAGGTGGCACAGCATCGAACGCGTCCGGAGCGTGGAGGTCCCGCTGCTCTTCCTCTGCGGGGAGAAGGACGAGGTGGTCCCTCCCGACCACATGGTCAGGCTGGAGAAGAGCGCCGTCAGATCGAGGTCGCACCGCCTCGTGCTCTTCCCAGAAGGCCAGCACAACGAGACTCGGGGGAGGGGTGGCGCCCAGGGCCCGGGCCCTCATCTTGCCGCGCCACCTTTCGAGCCGGGTCGGTCTACGAGGGTCCGAGGGCCCGAAGCGGGGCGAAAGCGCCCGGTGCGAAGAAATCGAGACGCCCGCATCTGCGGGAGTCTCGGGGGAGGGCTGGCCGAGACGGCGGCTCCCGAGAAGGCCAGCACAACGATACCTGGGAGAAGGGCGGCGCCCAGTACTGGGAGGTGCAGGCCGCCTTCCTGGCGGAGTGCTGGCCCCCCAGCGCCACGCCGGGGGGCGCCGAGGCCGCCACATGAGGCGCCCCCCCCGCAGGAGGCTCGCGCGGCCTGCGCCGCGCGCGTGCGGTCGCCGGCCGGCGGGCAAAAGGGGGCCCACGGCAGGTCTCCCCTCCCTCCGCTCCTTCCCTTCCACTCCCTCCTCTCACCATCACCCCTCCCTCCCTCCTCCTCCTCCTGCTCCTCCCTCCTTTCTGCTCCTCCTCCCTCCTCTTCCTTCTCCTCCTCCTCTTCGTGGTCCTCCTACTCCTCCTGGTCCTCGTCCTCCTCCTGGTCCTCCTCCTGCGCTTCCTCCTCCATGCTCCTCCTCCTCCCTCCTCCTCCTCCTGCGCCTCCTCCTCCTCCTCCTCCTCTTCCTGGTTCTCCGACTCCTTCTGGTCCTCGTTCTCCTCCTGGTCCTCCTCCTGCTCCTCCTCCTCCTCCTCCACGCTCCACGCTCCTCCTCCTCCTCCTCCTCCTCCTCCTCCTCCTCCCCCTCCTCATCCTCCATCTCCTCTTTCTCCTCTCTCCTCCCTCCTCCCTCCCTCCTCCCCTCCCCCTCCATCTTCCATCGGGCCACCGTGCCCTGCAGGGTGGCGGCTGCATAAAACTGGGCCCACTGACGGGGTCAAGGCGCCCCAAAGCCATTTTATCTCAAATCCCTCCATCCCTCCCTCCTCTACCCTTTTTCTCGATATGTGAAGAACTCCTCCCTGTTGCACCCCCAGGCGTGTCGGTAGGGCGGGCCAGGCGTTTTGCTCGAGGCTTCCTCACCATGCGTGATCCTGTAGCCTAAAATTTGCAAGTGGTTCAAGGATGGAGGGCAGCCCGTTTTCAAAATGTGGCCATTGCCTTAGTGCCGCGCACATTCATTTTAAAAGTTTGCCGCAATTTGGCGGATTCGTAGGGTTGGAATCCCAGGAACTGTGCTCTGGGACGGTTTAAGATTGTCAGGACGCAGCAGTCATTTGATTCGTGCGTTGAAGTTCCAGGAATGGTGTTCTGGTGCGATGGAATATTTTCCAGGACGCAGCAGTAAGGTTAATTCTGGCGTTGAAGTCCCAGGAATGGTGTTCTGGCACGGTGAAAGAATTGACAGGACGCAACAGTCACGTTGATTCGCGGCGTTGAGGTCCCAGGAGTTGCGTTGTGGCACGATTGTGGACTCTCAGACGGGTGTCTTCCAAGGGGACAATTCCCGCAATGAGCTTATTTTTGTAGGGACGTATGCAGGGGAAACCTGGAGGGAGGTTTTTACTGCAACATCGTCGATGCGTTTTGGGTTTACGCTGGGCCTCCTCCTCCTCATCCTCGTCCTCCCTCCTCCTTCCTCAGGAGGAGGGCGCCGCGCTCGCGTGTGACGCATGCCCACTCGGCCGATGGGGCGCTGGACCAACATCTGGCCCCGTCGAGCTCGAGCTTGCAGTTCACCTCCCCTTCTCGCCATCGCCTCTGCCCTCTACTCGTATGCCTCCCCAGGCGAGGCCGCGCGCCGCCGGGGCCCGACCCTGAGATCCCGTGGCACGCCATTGTTGAGTCAGATCGATCGATGATGATCCTGGGGCCCACGGCAGGTCTCCCCTATCCCCGTCCTCCTCTTCTTCCTCCTCCGCCTCCTCTCCCTCCTCCTCCTCCTCCTCCTCCTCCTCCTCCCCTCCTCCTCCTCCTCCTCCTCCTCCTCTCCTCCTCCTCCTCCTCTCCCTCCTCCTCCTCCTCTCCCTCCTCCTCCTCCTCCTCCTCCTCCTTTTCGGTCTTGATCGATCTGTGGTGGTCCCAGAGCCCGACGCTGGGCGAGCATGCCCCCCTGCCCGGATCTCCAGGGAGGCGCCCCGCCGCCCCCGCCGCCCCCCTCCTTCCGCCGCCCCCTCGACCGGCGTCGCCATGCGCCGCCGGGCCGCGCCCGGGGGCGCGCCGCGGCGCTGCGGCGGCGCCTGGCGCGCGGCCGCCGCGCTCGCGGCGTGTGCTGCGGCCTGGTGGCCTCCTCGGATGGCCGGCCGCCGCGCTGGCGCCCGCGGCGGCGCCCGCGGCGGCCGCACGGCGGCCGCCGCGGCGGCGGAGGGCGGAGGGTCGCGCCGCTCTGCGGGCGGCGGCGATCCCGCCCCCAGGAGGCACGCCCCTCGTCTCCTGCTCCTCCTCCTCCTCCTCCTCCTCCTCCTCCTCCTATCGTCTCCTCCTCGCCCCTTTCCTCTGCTCCCTCCCTCCGTGTCCCCCTCTTCCCTCCCCTCGTGCAGCGTCTCGCCGAATTCACGGGTCCCCGTTCCCACTGGGCCACTGCATCTCAGCCCTACCACTCCACCAAAGCGCGGACAGGTCTTGCGAAACCCAAGAGGAACATCATGTATCCCCACCTAGAGGGGTAAGTCGGCCAGTGGGGCCAAGGCCATGCCAGTGGGGATGATCGGTTAAACGATGCTCACACTTTCACCTGCTCCTTCTTCTCCGCCGCCCTGCCTCCTTCTTGTCCTCTGCCTCGTCGTCGTCGTCGTCGTCGTCGTCGTCGTCTTCGTCGTCGTCGTCGTCGTCGTTGTCGTTGTGGTGGTCGTCGTAGTCGTCGTCGCCGCCGTCGTCGTCCTCGTCGTCGTCCCCTGCTACTGGTTCTCAGCGCTCCGGGCAGCAGCCACCGGTTATCATGGCTGCTCCTCTTCGTGCGCTGCCTCGGGGTCTTCCCGTCGCTCGCGCCCAGGCTTTGTGGTGTCAGTGTCTGCTGCCGTTTCTGTTCCTGTTGGACGGCGTGACGTGCAGCTTCGCGGGCCGTCGCCGGATTGCGCACCTCACCTCCTCTCTAGCAAGTTCGCGCGATATGTCAGCCGAGGAGCCATGATGTTTCAGATGCCTCTGGCGTCTTGGGTGCTGCTCCTCCTGGAGTCCCTGGGGCTCCTCCTGCCGTTCCTGGAGCTGCGGGAGAGGTGCAGGTGGCCTACGCCGAGGACCACCTCCAGACTGGCGCCCGCGTTGCCGCCGACAGCCCCCTCTTCAGGAGGCTGCCGTCGGCCGCAGCCGCGCATGGGCCGCCCTCGCCCCCGACAGCCCCCAGTGGGAGGGCCCTGTTGGCGCGCCTGGGCCGCCCGCGCCTCTGCATTGGGTTCTGCCATCCTGTCACAGTCTGAGATGCCCGTCTGCGAGCCAGGTTGAAGGAGACCCAGCGATTCCCTGGCGGGGTCTTCCTGAGGGCATGTGGAAGTGGGCTACTCGCCTTTGCGTTTGTGTCCTTCGTGCTTCCTCTGCAAGCGACAATGGGTTTGTTGTTCTTGTTGGCCGTGCAGTGGTGGACGAGTCCCAGTGTTGCGCCCAGTGCTGCACGAGCACGCTATTACTCAGCGGAGCTGGAGCTCATGAGTTGGTCTTGCTCAGGAGATGCCGAGTTGGTCGAGGGCGGGTACTCGCTGGCAAGAAGCTGATGTCGTGGACATGTGGGTCCGACGTATCGAGGATGCCGAGGATGTGTTCAACGCCAGCACCCACTTGCAGTGACGCGCTCACGTGTATTCAGGCCCCCATACTTTTTCTGCAGGTTCACTGTCCCGCATTGCGTTTCCGCTGCCCTCCTGATGGGCCACCCCCGCCCGCCCGTCCCTGGCCTCCTTCTCTTGCTGGCGCAGCCGTTGTTCATGGCTGCTGCCGCCCGTCGAGGCAGTGCTCGCTCCCTCGTGGTGGGCCGCCCCCGCTGCCCCCTGCCCGCTCTCCTTGGGAGCTCCCCGTTCTCTCCGTGGCGGGTCTCTCCCGCCAGCTGCACTGCGGGGCCGGCCGCGCGTGCTCCGCCCTCGGGCCCTCGGCCTCCGGAGCTCGAGCTGCTCCCCGGGGCCGCGCCAGCCGCCGTGCGCTGTCGGTGCACTCCGCTCGGGCCTCCCCTCTGCCCCTGCTCCTCTCGCAGGCCTAGAGGTTGACACCAGCACCAAGATCGGCGGCGTTCCTCCACCGAGGGAAGGAGATCCCGATCTCGGTGATGGTGGTAATATTCTGGCTTCCAAGGTGACCGAAATATTACCACCAACACCGAATTCTAGGATCGTCTCCACCCTGTGGAGGCAGCCCCGTGTCTTGGTGTTCTAGGCCTCCAATCCTCCTCCCTCGGCTCGGGTCGGCGCACGCCCATCTTGGCCTTCGAGCCTCCCTCGCCTCTGCAGGTGGTTGCCGGCGCACAGGCTTTCTGTTGTGTGTGTGTGTGTCCTGCTCGTCCGGCCGCCTGAGGCCCCGCCCGCCTGTGCCGTGTCTCCCCAAGTGGAAGAGGTTCGCTCTCGCCCCGCCGACCAAAAAAGTGTGTCCTGCTCGTCTTTGGCTCTGTGCAGGGATATCCGATGTGATTCGTTTCCCGCGTGTGCCGTCCTGTTTTTATTTTTGCCTGGGTCAGGGGCCCTCGCTCGCAGGCACTTGATCCCGAGAACGGTGAGACACCCGTTCCGATCTTCAGCAGCAGCCTCCGCCTCGTTCCTCGCCCCGGCACCCGTCCAGTTCCGAAGCGGAAGCCAACGGGGCCAGGCTTGTGATTGGGCCCGTCCTGCCACTCCTCCGCTCTGTCCTGCGACTCTTTCCCCCTCCGTTGCCACTCCTCTCTTCTGAGGCGAACATGTCCACATCTGTGCCCTCGCGGTCTGGTTACCAACGCGCGATCCCACGGATATACTTGATCCCAGGGATACGTTCCGCGCGTGGCATCCACGCGAGGCCGCGCTGAATCCGTGGGGGCGCGGCCGAAGAGTCCAGACCACGAGGCCGTGGATACGGACATGTTTCCCGCCCACGATCCCCTCTCCTCTCCTCCCTCCCCCACTTCCTCCGTTCTCCTCCGTTTCTTGCCCTGTCCCCCTCCTCCTCCTCCCCCTTCTCCTCCTTCTTCCTGCCTCCTCCCTGCTCCCTTCTCTCCCTCCTCCGTCCTTTATCCCACCCTCCCCCTTCCCTCCTCCCTCCTCGCTTCCTTCCCCCCTCCCCTTTGGGTGTGCAGGCTGCGCCGACGGACAAGGGGGGAGTGAATCACGGGGTGACGCATGGCCTGAGAGCTACTCTCGTGTCCGGGTGCTCCCTCTCCTCCTCCCCGTCCTAACTTC